CCCCCTAGGGAAACAAAACGTCTGGCAGCAGAGCAGCTATTGCAAGGGGGCTGAATTTGGGCAAATCAGTACTCAGGAGCTGAATACACCCCCGCTTTGTTCAACACTGCCCCCAAAGACAGTGTGCGTGGGTGTCTGCACCAATGTCAATAAGACATCCCAACCCATTCCCCAAATTTATTAAGCCCTTATCAACGGGTCCAAGGAAGAGACCCCCCCCCCCCCCCGACCTCTCCCTGTCCACCTCCCTCGACAGGGTGCCCTGCAGGGGGATTCCCACAACTGCGGAAGCAGGCCAACAGGCTGCCTGACATCACTGAGTGACGAATACCATTAGGGATCTGCGACACGCATCCCTCTGAGAGTCCTGACAATGCATCATGAAAAGCCTATTTTGAGAATGGAACCCAAAATAGAAAGACTGGTATAAAGGACTGCAGCAAAAAAAAAAAAAAAAAAAGACTTCCAAAAATCATACTGTAAATGAGGTCTACCAAAAACTGCTTCTACTAACCAAAGATGAACAAAGATAAACTATATCAACAATGTACCAAAGCCTACATACAACATCTCTGGACTATGAATAGCCGGTAGTTGGGGAGCTAAAGGAAAGGCCAAAAAGTGGGATATGATTCCTGAATTCACAACAGAGGTAATTTAATACGATCCAAGCCCAATTACTGCATAGGGAGAACAACAAACAAAACTAACCCAGACACTGATGGAACACAAGGTCCGTTTTAATGCAGGATCAAAGCCAGGGACTGCTTAGCTCTGCCCTGCGGGATGGTGAATGAGCAACAGTTCCTTGTCTTAAGGAGAGCACACCTCAACATCTGGGTTCGAGGTGAAGGGAGAGCCAGAATCATTCCGTAGCTGCGGATCCATAGATGTGCCGCTATTGACATGCCACTCGATCTCAGCACGTCAGCGCTCCCAAGCACATCCTCTTACATCCTCCTCACAGGTGTTGCTGTGACTTCACAACGCAATGGACGGGCTGGCACACAACTTGGCACGTGAACAGCGGAAGCAAACAGGCCGGGCCATGAAGGTCTATTTTTACACTGGCATCCACCTGTAATAACATGAAAGCTGGCCCCGTCACACCATGTGGGGAATACGCACACGCATATGGCAAAAAGGAAAGTCTTACTCATCAACAGCATAAGCAGTGGCCCGCATGGAAACGTCACGCACCACCGAGCTGCTGTGACTCCATGTCCTTCTAAAGGGCAAATACAGAATTTCACTGCTGTTACAGTTCAGCGCAGTTCCTGGTTGAAAGCACAATCCTTATGCGGGGGGGTGTGTAGTCGTATTATTACTATTATTATTATCGTCATGAACTGAGCATGGTGATTTAAGAGATGCCTGTCCGTGTCGACGGGCCACCTCGTCCGCTTGGAGATCGTGTCCTCGCTCAGCTGGTTGTGATGCCGCGGACGCGACAGAATCCAAAATAAATTAAGTAAATAAATAAATAAATAAAGTAAATTATCAAAGGGTAATCAAAGAGCACAGATTAACTCACACGGAATGACGCTCAGAGCGCATACACTTTGAGCAACTGTAGAAGACTAAAAACAAGAATAACTTTTTATAAACACAATGCATTCTCCTCCCCTGTATTTGTCATATGTATTATCACCATATGATATTTATGCATTATGTACTTAGCCCGTAGTATTCAAAACACCTTCAGTGATATGATGACTCTTCTAATAAAAGATCTGAAGGTCTGTGCAATGATTGGCTCACGTGGTGTAATGAGAATTCACACAAGCCTTCTATAGGTGTCTGACAAACAGCTAACAAAACACCATTAACAGTGAACGCACCCTGTATTTCTCGCTTGGAAGCTTCCTGGTTCCAATATGAACGCTCCACTGCTTCCCAGTTATTTCACTGTGCCGCATGTTTGGTTTGAGGGTGCTTCAGTCCCCCTCCAAAGACTGACCAACATCCCCTGACACTTCATTTTGGAGTTTTCCATTGGCTCTAACTTCTCATACAACGCAACTGATCTTGTGTTTGCCTGCTGACCTAAGACTCATAACTGTGGGAATTCATTATTCAAAAGAAAGAGATGCAATGAATGCCAAACATTAAAAAAAGAACTAAAGAGGAAAAAAAGAATTCCTAAAAGACATCCAGTGTATGAGCCATCAAAAGTCTGTGGTTTGAGGATCCCAAGGATCTGGGGACCAATCATTAATTTGAGAAACACTTACTATTATTATTTTTTATTATTATTATTTTTTTATTTTGACAGTTTTATCGAACACAGGAAACATTACATCTACAGGCACAACAAAACGAAGACCTAGGATCTAACGTCAGAACTCCCTCCACACCAATACTGCTAGATGACGGAGTCTGCCTCTCATTTGGATAATCACAACTTATCAAAAAGAAACAGATATATCAGCCCATATCTTACAAGAGATTAGACAAAGAAAGCTGTATGTACATGGAAAGGCCCAACTATAGAAACCATAAAACACTCAGGAAGGGAAGAATGTACCTTGGTGGTAACAGACACAGACCTAGTAAGGAGGAAGGATAGGGGTCAGAAGTTGGATCATTGAAAAAGGTATTTATGCCAACAAGCTCGGATAATTACCCATCTGTGCGAAACTGCATAAGATTTTATGAATTGATGAAGATGAAGGGGGAGTGGTACTAAAACTATACATAGATACTTCTTGTTCCTCATGCTTACTGTAACAAGAAACTACATCAAAAAGACAAAGCAACAAAAGTAATACAATGAGCAGTTTCAGCTTTGGTTTTCGCCTAGGCTACCTTTTAAGAAATTAGTGGAAACTGGAGGAGTTATTTTAGGAAACGCAAGTGCTGACACCAGAAAATAGATGTACAGTATAATAAGAAAATGTAGTTTCTGGTGACTTCTCTGTAGAAACGTAGAAAAATAAATAAATAAATAGATCAGATGGTCTTCTGGTAACATTTTTCAGAAGATTAGAAGTCCGTTCCCTGTTTAAAATGTGCAGCATTTTCTCTACACGCATCTGATGTCTGAAGATGGGCAGCAGTAACAGCAAAGTGGAGAAATTCCCCTTTAAGGGCACTTCCTGTCCAAGTCACAGCAAAAAGAATGATTTTTTTTTGGCATCAGTGTTGCAACACAATTTTTCTTGGATAACATCAAAGTAATCACATCTACAAATGTCAGCAGCAATATCTCTAAACTTACGAGGAAAACATTTTTACCAGCTTCCAATATCAAATAAAAGCCCTTCCACCTATTAAAATTTTAGTTTAGTTATCTATAAATTTCAGGAAAAAAATAAACTTTATCCTTAAAAGCATTACTCCTTTCATTAACAAGGAAGTGTATAAAAAAAATAAAACACTGAAACAAAGTTTAAACAAATCTATCACAGACATGGAAAAGCCAACACACCACAGGTGTATCGCTTATAAATGCATGTATATTGGCCACGGAGATATAACATATAGCAGGCTAACCACTAAGGTATCTAGAGAGGTAAATACATACAAGGAAATGTTTTAACTTGAAACTTTAAACACACAATCATGAAATGTCTATAAGCAAACGGAGACCAAAAGAACACCACATCCCAATTAAAAACAGACCTCTCCCGGGAATTTTTTTTAACTCACAGGATGCCACAAAACAAGACTGCCAGACAATGGAGTTCATAAATTGTCTCCATGGCCCAGTCTGAGCACAAAGTCTCTCTCAGCACCTCCAGGACAGGAAGAGCATTTAATGAGAACCGAACAGGACAAGCTTATCAGCCTAAAACCGGGGGGGGGGGGGGGGGGGGGGTCAAGCGAGAGTCTTTTGTGGCGTCCACATTCTTCCTTGGGTCAAAGGTCTCCAACAGGAACAGACATCTCATTTTCTACCAGAGGAGTGAGAGCAGGGTAACACAACACTTTCCTGGAATGTCTGGGGTTGGACCGAAAATTGCAGAGGACTTAGGGATCGTCTCCCTGAGGAGAAGCAATTATCCAAACGTCAAGCTGTGCCTCCTGACAGAGCTCATCCAGCATCATCCTGCAAGGATGTAACCGGACGGCTGTTTCATAGCCGTAAGAAACTCCTCACCTAGGGCACAGGACTGAAGTGGAAGTGTTGACAAGCAGCATGGAGCTTAAGTGACAGCCCTCTGCCAAAGCACACCTTCTCTGCTCAAAGCCCAGCATTACAGACAACCCTGAGCCAGGGACACTAATGACAGGGTGACAGGCTGCACCTCTGGGCCCCCACACCTCATCCCCCAGAGGCCCCCGGCTGGGTAGGTACCATGTGGCACATGGGGAGAGGACTAGTGCCAATCCGGTCAACCAAAACTTTGTATTTAACACACCCCGAATGTGATTTCATGGCAGTACAATAAAAGAAACAAACCACTCACCCTCACATGCCATTCATATTTTAAGACAGCATTGACAAATAAACAAACCAGCCATCTGTCCATTAATCGACAGAAAAAGATTTTTTTTCAAAATACAAAAACAGAGAAGACTATTTGTCCTGTAAACAAACTCTCAGCTATCCAAGTTAATTTTCCATGCCTTCATTTTTTTATATACTTCAAATACTGCAATTTGTTTATGAGCTGGCTGCAATTTGGTTGATTTCTATATCGTATAATGCATATAAGGAAAGAGACGTAGATACAAAAACTCCAACATTAAATTTTTAAAATACACCAGTATTACATAAGTTTTAATGATTTCTGAGTTCACCAGTGTCAGTAAGCCCTTATGCGCTATGGGTCTAACTTTAAGAGAACTTTTATTGCTGGCCACCTGTTATGAGTTGTGGATAAATGCCCCGCGTTGTTTTAGGTTAAATAAATGTAACTTTATAGAAATAACACAATAAGACTCCAAAAGTGAAGGCGCAGGTGGCTTTTGGTGGCAGAAACGTGCCCCGGCCAGTACGCCGAGCACGGCGGTGGAGCGGCGCTTCTCCTGGCCAGCAGGCGGCTGGGACTCACCTCGTTGGACGGTATGCTGACCACCCCGGTGGAGCGGCGCTTCTCCCGCAGCTTGCGCTTCTCTATCTGCCCTTTGCCCTTCCTGGCGCTCGGACCCGAGCTCTTCTTCTCTTTGCTCTTGCCAGTGCCGCCGCCAGGAGCGGGGCTCTCTCTGTCGTTGTCGCCGGTGTCCGCCTGCGGGGTGCCCGGCTCTTTCTCCAGCTGTGAAGCCTTCTTCGGGGTGGCCGGTGGCCCGTCGGCGGCCCTGGGCTCGCAGGAGGCGGCCGCTCGTACCGCGGGGTGGCACGGCGCGCAGGTGACAGTGGCTGCCGCGCAGGTGACAGTGGCTGCCGCACGCTCAGGGGCGCTGCCGCCCGCCTCGGTGGCCGGAGTCAAACTTCGCGTCTCGTTTTTATTGCTGCCCCCATGAAGCGCACCGATGCTGGAGCCGGTCGAGGCTGATATGCCCCCCGGCATTTTAGCCCTCATCTTTTCCCGCTTGGCTTTCCATTCCTCCAGAAAGTCCGTGGCCGTGTTGGATCTGAATCCACCCGTCGCCATGGTCCCTTTTCTATATTTAATTAGCGAGTTACGGGCTGCGCACTGCTGTTAACTTAGTTGGTCCGGGCCGTTTAAAAATTAACAACAAAAAAAAAAAACACTTCTCTGCTCAGTTAATCCGTATTATCCCGAGTACCACCGCAGAAGAACCAGCAATTAGTCTGGAAAAGACCAGGGAAATAAGTTAATTTTAAGAGTCTGTTTTAAACACACACATACCCGAAATACTGACTATTGCCCTTCAAATTAAAGCGAAACAGGCATAAAGTCACGGCTGTACCTGTGATCCCTATGGATACGGGCTTATGCAAGCACGTCCCAGGACCTGACTAACTTTTAAAACTCTCGCTAGTTCAGCTACAAAAGTTGTTCTGTCACAAAAGGGAGCGTAATTATACCTCCGGCCGCGATGCGATCGTGCAAGATCGTGTCATCGACGGTGTCTGCGGGGAAAGTGCCCGACGCGACTTACCTGTTCCTCATGTCGCTGCGGCGACGTCTCAGGTGAACCGTCACCATATAGCCAGACGCCTTTCCGCGGTAGGTGTGAGCAGTCGGACCGTGCTCAGCCCCCCTCACTCACGCTAGGCTTAGCCTGCGTGCCGGAAAAGTACGAGCTGCCACGAAGAGGTCCGAACTCGCATGCCAACCGCGGACCGACCCGATCGCTCCCGGCCGCCGATCTGCTAGTGAACTTCCTACGACCCGCACGGTGATGTTAACCGCTTCCCTCGCTGAGGAACTCCTAGAATTCAGTTTAACCATACCGATGACTTTATGTCATCTGACTTTTAAATCCAAGATCCTAAGTGTTTCAAGTGAATACTCCAGAGTGCATTATAAATGTATTGGATGCATGGTTTACAACTTTGGCCAGCTGGCTGTTTCAGTTACATTCTGCACACGCATTTGCGTGTATGTAACAGTTTTATTACCTTGTAAATAGTCTGTAGGGTTTGCAAACTAACCCAACACTTTGGATTTGGCTTATTTTAGTTTCATAATGGAATAATATATATTTGCCGTAAGATTTCTTTCATGAACTTGAGTCTAACAGCGTGTCACACCACATGCGTGAGTTGGCAATCCTGTGAATGTGTGTGACCAAACAGATTACAGTGTTTACTAAAACAACAACAATAACAACAACAAATAGTAATAAAAGGCTAGTAATAATAATAATAAATATTAATTTCTTAATTTACCCATCTAGGCACGCTAGGTCACACTACAAATTTGGAGACCGTAGAGCTGAATATTAACAAATAGCTCGTGTTTTGTAGTCAAGGATGACAGTACAACATGAGCGTACATGTATCCAGTAAGCCAGTTTTCTGTGTATTCGCCGCCGCACAAACCAGACTGTATAATATCAACAAAACAAAAATGTTCTGATTTACCCCGTAGGCTTTAAGCAGATTATATTTCTTTCAGTGTTTCTCCCCAGAACGCACCGGGGAAATGTACAAAGTGTAATATTCTGTTTGCAGCGTTAAATTGAATACACGCAGAGCCGGAGCGGTATGCAAAAGATCAAAGTAATAAAAAACATCCCAGGTGACGGAATTTGCATGCATTGAATTGTACTGCACTAATGGGAACTCGGCATTGTAACGCCACTGTAGTATGGTACAGCGCTATTTATGGTACTTCATTTAACTCCAAAAGCATAAGCATACTATATCAGACCTCATGCCTGACTCCACACCCATCAACACCCCTTATTTCTAATACTCCGGGTTGTTGATGTACTTGTTTCTGTCACAGCACGCTGTGTTTTTCTCTATTCCACACTGCGATCAGAATCGATGTCTCCATTTTGGAATGCCTACCCGAAAGTAATTTCATGTCACGAAACGGCCCGGTAACTTAATGACAGCGCAAGGGCCACTGTGCGTGTTCAAACTGACTATATGCTCTGTAGCTGGTTTCGTACGATTTAATAGTCTAATAATAATCTTAATAGTATGGCGATGCTCCTGGTGTAATCAAACCGGGGCGAGAACAAAGTGTACTTGCTATTTGCGGCATCGGGGCGATAGCGAGGTAGGTGTATGTTACAGGTAGGTGTATGTTACAGGTAGGTGTGCGTTCCTGAGCCCTAACTGGGCCCCTCAGTGTTTGACCACAGAGCTTTTGGGGAGTGAGAAAGCTTAAGACCTACGGCGGTAAATACAGAAAGTGATTCATGCTCAAAAACCTACGTTATGACCAGGGATGCATATTTAGGATTCTCTGCTTTCGAGAAGGGTCTGTTTTTGGGAAGAAAAATAAGAACTGCAGCGCGGTCGCCTCAGCTACTCAGAGACGAAGTTTGGTTTTATTTTCAGCCATGTCTGATTTTTAATTTTTGTATTTCAGAGGCAACTGCTAATTCGTATATTAATTTGAGCTTTGAACGCCCACAAAGCACTTCGTGCACTCCTGTCAAAAAAGATCGGGGATTTTCCACAGGGAATGTTAAAATGGTTTAATCACAACTACAGTAGTAGTGGCACAGTGGTTCAAGTCGAGTAACACCATATTGATAGAAATAAGGGTTTGAATCTCCCCCCACTCAGTGTGCATGAAGTTTGCGTGTTATTTCAGTGTTGCCTGGGTTTTCTCTGGATACTCTGGTTTCCTGCTGCAGTCCAAAGATATGCATTTAGACGAACTGGCATCTCTACATTTCCTTTGGTGAGCGTATGTGCCCTGTCTCGGAGTGGCATCCTGTCCGGGTCCCAGTTTAATCCGATTTAAAGTGGTTGGAAGGTGGATGAACAACCGTGGCAATAAAAAAAAAAGGAAAAAGATGGATGAACGTCCAAAAGTGTGAAAACATTCACTGCCTGTAGTCCAGGTTTTATCTATAATCATAACTTGAATACTAAACTTTTTCTTGTGGGAATGTTATAGTTGCCTATTAACAGTAAACCTCAGTGATGATTGTAACCTAGAGAGGGGCATTACAATTTACTGTGGACACTAAATCGTAAGCGGCCTATTTTAAATCCTTAATTTAATAAGGATATTGCTCCTCTTCCACACCCAGCGCTTACTGTGAAGTCCCGGCCAACCCCTGGTCCTGTGGTTTCTCCTCTCCCACCAGTATAATCACATGGATGACCTCCAGCATCCCACTAAATCAGAGCTGATACATTTGGCATTTCATTTTCCTGCGCAGGTCAGCTTGACCGTGCAGACATGTCTGAACTGCTATTTCAATCTGAAGAAAAAAAACTGTTTTAATTCCATAAGATGCCTACAAGCTAAATACCAGACATGATAGAAATGATAATGTAGACATAGAAGGCTGCTTTAGTACTAGTGACAACACACTGACTTGTTTTTTGAATATAGTGACACAGTGTCACAATAGAATGACAATGTGTTGCCTAACAGACGTGACACTAATTATTTAAAAGCTTGTCAATAAGTATGGGCCAGGGGTGTTGCTAGAATCTTAAGACATCTAGGGCTTATCAGAGAGACCTAATGTGTCCGAGCGTCGTTATGTTGAATTCGCTCTCTCTGAAGTTGTGATGATCACGGCAGGTTTTGGGGAAATGCAGCCCTGGATTAAGATTATTGTCAAGTGTGGAATTCTCTAACCAAGAGCATCTGAGATAAACAAATCATTCAGGGCTTCAACCCCAAATGCCTCAGGCTTGTAACATGTCTGGTTTGGACATATTATCTGTTTGGAAACAAACAGCAAACACTTCAAGAAAGCCTTACGCTGTACTTCTGGTTAGGAAGACCACATATAAACAAACTGTAGAGAGGACCTGCGCACCATATGACGCACACGGCATCACAATTAACCTCCCATTGATGAGCGGCATGGTTTTTGAGATTTCCTTCCATAAATTAAAGGTGCCCCCCCCCCCCAAACCAGGACAGGTAATATGGAATGACACTCTCACCGGGTCACTTTCACTTCCAGCCTCCTCACCCACAAACTCATGAAACAATCGCTCTTGGGTTTATGTGCCATGTCAAAAACTGCCTGTTACTCCTTCCTGGGATTATCCTGTCATCTTGAACCCAGTCTATAGCCAACACGATTCCCCTTCCCCAGGGCAGAGGAGAGGGCTGGTGACCTGCCTGAGGGGATGAGGAGTTCCCAGTACAGGGAAGGAAGTAAGCCGACATAAGGCAGTGTAGAGTGGTGAGAGAGACTTCCTCCAAAAGAAAGGAGGAAAGAAACTGGTGCTGTGAGTCACTTTGTGCTGGGGGGGGGGGCCAGCAGCCAGGAAGAGGTTTTTGTTCAGGAACAATTAAAATTAAAAGACATTTGTGCTATAATGAACTGGTGTTTTAGCGGCATGGAAATGTCAGGACAGTGTGCTGGCTTTTGATGACAAAATCCCTACACAGATTGTTATTTCATTTAATTAGCAGGCATGTTTATCCAAAGCAACGTAGGTTTTTACATTTTTGAGAAAGCAGTGTCGGACAATCCCTGGAGCAACTGGGTTTAAGGGCCCAAGGAAATAATTTTGTGGACTCTGGGATTTGAACCAGTGACCTTCTGATCTCAGGAACAGCATCCTGAATTGCTGAGCCATACACAAACAGTTAGGGATATCTTTCACTTATAAAAATGCTTCCATCCATCTATAACTCTATCAATCCCTCCTTCAACGTTTTTCTGCAGAGCATCGCAGGGGCAGCCCGGGGGGGGGGGGGGGGCAGGGGGACACTTAACACATTTACAAAATGTCATAATGTAAAAACAACACTGTGTATTTTAAGAATTTGCTGTGATCTCAAAAAAAATCTCCAAGAAGCAAAAGCATGAATACCCACTGATCCTGCTTTGTCCAAAGCACATACTTACAAAGCAGGCGACGGTGACTGCTAGCCGACCTGTCAGGTCAGCATGAACAGGCAGTTTAAGCAATGTAACGAGGTTGTTCATTCTTCTACACGAGCCACTATTTGGTCCGGAAGAGGAGGTACCTGTAATTGAACGGATGAACGGCTGACAAATTGAAACTCAAACCTGGCCAAAAACCGTCTGCCACATCCTAGGGGTTCGGGTTAAGAATTCCAACGCATGACTTCCTTTCCCTGCAGAATCCGCTGCTTTATTTAATGACGCGTGGGAATGGGAGGCGTGTTCTGAGCCTCATTACACATCGCCTGGTTGGACGTGAACCTTGGGCCTCGCTACCTCACTGAAAGTAGGACAGCTGCAGTAATCACCTCTTCCTTACTCACCAGGGGTTTGAAATGCCAAATAACCACCAGAATATCAGTTAGAATGTCGCCCAGGCTCCCAGCCTCTAAAAGCTTGTGCATCTTAAGACTCTCTAGTTAGTGACAAGTTGGCCACATTCAGGACCATCTGCTGAATGGTGGATTTAATTGCCCCCAAGCAATTGTTTAAAGATTTAAAAAAAACAAAAACTTTCCCTGTCTGTAGCATTAACTTCATTCTATTGAGGATAATCACACATATGTAGTAGGATGTCCTGCTACTAGGTATGTTATTATGGTACAAGAAAAAAAGGGTATGTAATAATGGTCTGTAGCTATAACTGTGTTACTGCAACTGGACAAAGAATGGCAAAAACATAAATAACCCACAAAGCACCTTTGATTATAGTACCCTCAGTCTGTGGGCTGCAGTTACGCTGCATCCCTTTCAATGGCTGCGTACTGCTGAGGCTGTGATTATGGATTTGGCTGGCAATGCATGCTG